AGATGTAGAAAAACTTTCTAAGAATACATTTGATCTATTTCTGTGTTTGCTAAGATGCTTGAACTATACATGAATATACATTTTCAGAATTGTTCTGTTAAGAGCAATGCTTCTGGGCCCCTAGAGAAGCAGTTTTAAAATTTGTAGAAATGATTTGCTTAGAAAACCTGTTTGCATCGAACATCATCGCTCTGAAATCCTACACCACTGCTAAAAAAATCCCCACCTTACCAATCTTTGGATGATACTTCTACAAAAAAGAAAAAAAAAGGAAAAAGTCAATGTAGTTTTTTTCCTCTTATGTAAGGTGAGCAGCAGCTCCCACACAGTTTGCGTTTTGTGTACAGCAGAGCTGGAGGAGCTAATCACACGGAGCCTCCACAGCAGTGCTGCTGCTCGACCTCCGCTCGCACGGAGCTGAAATAGTCCTTCTGCCCAGGGGAGTGTGGGGGTGGTTCGGAGGGGACAGGGGCGGGGAGGGGAGTGGGGGTTGCTGGATACAAGAGGAAATGAGCAGAGGGGAAATGAGTATCGTGGGTCCCATGACTCAGTTTCTGCCTCGGAACATTCTGCACCCTAAAGGGCTGCAAAAGTTCTGACTCGTAAGTAGGCCGTGTCAAGTGCACGGGGGAACACGGTCCCATGGGGGGGAGAGGTCCATGTTGGCACTTTTTTGTTGTTGTTGTTTGTTTGTTTCCAGACGTTTTTTTTTTTTTTTGAAAACCTGTGTATGTCCTCAGGCTGTGACAGGAAAAGGAAAGTGAAACATCCTGAGCTCAGTTAAAATTGATGTAATTATTGTGAAGTTGTGGCCCTTTGTGGTTGTCGGCTCACATTCCTCCCTTTTGTGCTTTCTGCATGACATGGCATTAAATTCCCCTCTGCTCAGCATAAATCATGCTGCAGTTGTTCAGGGGCGTGCTGTCAGTGTTTATGAAGGATCAAACTGCTTGCACTCGTTTAATTCAAATTTACCACGGAGTGAGAGGCCGGCGTTTTGGGGTGGGGGCCGGGTTTTCTGATTGTCTGCAATCAAGAGAGACTGAAGCAGCTTTGTGCTTCTCCTCTGTGGTGATTATCGTGTGACTTTATGTCCTGTGATATATCAGCCTCTCAAAATATTCCAGCTCACTTTACCAGGCTGAGACTTTACTCAAAGTCCGGACATTTATGACTTYATAAACACTGACTCTGCTGTAATTTACTCACAAGATCTCATTTTTTCCCCTATCAAATTGGCTTTTTGCAGCTAAAGGGCATCTCATATCTTCAAACCATTGTGTTGCACATAAAGCACTTGGAACACACAGAGGGTAAAATAAGTATTGAACACTTCAACATTTTTCTCAGTAAATATATCACTAGAGG